CAAAATTACCGGTTGGTAATTTAGTCTCACAAAAGAAATCAGATAAATGATTGCATTGAACAGTATTAGTTACACCAAATCATTAATGGAGATAATTGGGTTTTTATTAGAATACTATCAGTAATACAATCTCAAAAATAATTTACCCACATGTTTGCTTTCATGATCAAGTGCTCTTTTGTTTAGAAATAAGGAACAACAGGAGGAATTGGAACCAGATGGGCAAGAAAGTAGTTTATGAGATTGAATCCAAGCAACAGTAGCCCTGCCCCTTTCTGCAAAGGAGAGGCAGCCAGAGTCACAGTGTCACTGCTGTGATGATGATGATGAGAGTACCAAAGCCTTAATTCCTGCAATTTTAAATGTGCTTTCATGTATATTATTTTATTTTATCTTCATAGCAAACTTGCTATGACTTTCTAGACAAGGAAACTGAGAACCACAGAGAGTTAAAGTGGCTTGCCCAAAATCACAGAGCTAGTGGGAAGGAGCTTCTGACTTCCATAATGAAAATATTGTCTTCCTATTCTTGGGCTTTTTATTCTTGTTTTGCTTTGTAATGTATCACATGACTTAGTTACAAAATTGATGAAGCTGAAGAGTTGACTTCTCTTAATCCTCAGCAGTTGTCATTACTTTTTCATTTTGTTTTTAGTTACCATATTTTTATTTTTAACAAGAGACCATCAAAGGAAGCAAAAGCAAGGTATTTTGTTCCACCTCTCACATACAGTTTAGAAGGCCAGCCAACAGATTTGTCAGGAACTCCCTATCGAAATAATCTGGAACCTTAACTGTCACCAAGGGATGTAGCAAATCAGGTAATTCCCTGAGCAGGAAGGAAGGTAGCTACTGCAGGGTCTAAAATATAACTGCAACAAGCCTATAAAATGCAATTACCCTGAGCATGAAATCCCTTCCTAATTATGCCTTTGATGCACATGATATTCCACCTGACATTATAGTTGTCTCTCACTGTCTTATTATCCCCTAATATTATTAGTTTTTTGAAGGCAAAGCTACGTGGTTTTAGATTTCCTCCTCCCCTGCAACAATTCTTCCTCCCTCCACTCCCTAATGTTTATATTATCACCTCCATTTCTCAGGGCTGCCCTTGATGTTCACCTTTTAACAGATTCTGCCTACATAAAACTGTTAAGAAAAGGAAGAGAAGTTTCTATCCCCTAATTTGTATCAGGCCTTATACATCTAGGGATGGCCTTTTCTTAATCCCCACAATATTCTTACAGTGATACTTTCCCAGCTATATAACACCTTGACTGTCCATGGGAGAGAGTTAAATAATAGAAAAGAAAATTGAGAACAAAGAATTTGTTTCTGTATGACTCTTCAACCTAAGATATTGGCACTTACCTGCCAGGTAAATGGCCAGCTATCCATGAGGGAAACCTTTGGTAGATGAGCTCCTTCAAACAGGAGACTCTCCTCACAACAATGCTTTATGTTGGACACTCTTCGTTGTACAGATAGAAATTCTGCTACTAGAAATCATTACACTGTGTTCAAGATTACTGCCTAATTAGCATTTTAGCCAGAAAAGGAGCAAAGGTAAAAGTAGTCTTTGAGGAAGTAGGTATCATATATAGCATTTAAATCAGGGGTTAGCCAACTGTGGGCCTTAGGGAAAATCCTACCTACAGCCTATTTTTGTAAATAAAATTTCAGAGAGCCCGTGCCCACTTTGAGGCACTCACCTCTCAGTTCCAGCTGTGTTGCCTGGCAGGAATGTGGACTCAGTGTTACCACAACCTCTGAATTTTCAGGACCTCTGGAAATCTGTTTGTTTTTGTCAAGTCTCCTAATATTTAAATATTGAGAGCAGATTAAAATTAAAAATAGCAGGGCAAAAAAAACTGCACATGGATATTCATAACAGCTTTATTCCTAATTGCCAAAACTTGGAAGCAACCAAGATACCTTTCAGTAGGTGAATGGATAAATGAACTGTGGTACATCCAGACAGTGGAATATTATTCAGTACTTAAAAGAAATGAGCTATCAAGGTACAGAAACACAGGGAGGAATCCTAGGTGCACATTACCATGTTTCCCCGAAAATAAGACAGGGTCTTATATTTATTTTTCCTCAAGAAGACACCCTAGGGCTTATTTTCAGGGGATGTGTTATTTTCCCCTCAAAGCCTCAGCTTGCAGCATGCACAGGATGGCCGGGACCTGACAGGGGGAGCCAACCTTGTTGGTGGGGTTGCCTGCACCTTTCCGATCACCTCTGGGATAGTAGCTGTCACGATGAGGCAGATGAGAAGGGCTGCTTGTCTTCTTTACTGCTCCGGGATGAAATGCATGGGTTGTGCAGACAGCTGCGTAGCCACGCCCATCACTGGGTCTTATTTTCAGGGTAGGGCGTATATTGCTCAAATGCTTAGAAATCCTGCTAGGGCTTATTTTATGGGTAGGTCTTATTTTCAGGGAAATACGGTACTAAGTCAAAGAAGCCAATCTGGAAAGGCTGTACACTATATGATTCCACCTGTATAATACTCTGGAAAAGGCAAGTAAATAGAGCACAGAGGGTTTTTAGGCAGTGAAATTATTCTGTATGTTATAATAATGGTGAAGACATGTAATTATACATTTGTCAAAGCCTATAGAACAGGCGTCCTCAAACTACGGCCCATGGGCCACATGCGGGTGTTTTTGCCCATTTGTTTTTTTACTTCAAAATAAGGTATGTGTAGTGTGCATAGGAATTTGTTCATAGTTTTTTTAAAAACTATAGTCCAGTCCTCCAACAGTCTGAGGGACAATGAACTGCCCCCCTGTTTAAAAAGTTTGAGGACCCCTGCTATAAGAATGTACAGCACCAAGAGTGAACCCTAATGTAAAGTGTGGAGTTAGAATGATAACGGTGTCAATATAGGTTCATCGATAGGAACAAATGCACTGCTCTGGTGCAGAATGTTGGTAGTGGGGGATGCGGTGCAAGGAGTGGGGGGATATGGGAACTCTGTACTTTCCACTCACTTATGCTGAGAACTTCAAACTGCTTTTAAAAATAAAGTATTTTTTAGGAAAAAAAACAGTAGGGCAAATGAAACATATCCAGGGGTCAGATTTGATTCTCAACCCACCACTTTACAATCTCAGGTCCAACCGAGGTGGCAGTCAAACAAATGGTTATTATTAGAAAGGAATGGCAGAAGATATCAGGGGTGTCCTAACTAACACAGTGATCACAGCACCAGGAAGGCCAGGATTGGACAGTAGGAGATATAGGTGATTATGTCAGCAGGTTGTGTCAAAGGCCTTGCAATAATGGCCTTCTGGTTTGTGTCACAGACCTAAAGGCCTGGCCCCTGCAGATGGCTGGCCAGGCAGAAAAGAATCCCTGTTCTGAAAGAGCTATAGAACTAACCAGATGATTAGGATGCAGACTCATTCTGATAGAAACAGAGAAAGATCCAGTGACCAAAGTGGACCACAAAGCAGGAACTGGATCTCAGGATCCAGGCACAAACACAACTGATTAAATTATGGTTCGGTTGCAGAGTAGGCTAACTAGCTTTTGTTTTGTTTTTGCTAATGGAGATCTATATCTCTAGGCTAACTAGTTTTTGAGGCTAGTCAGGACTTTTTGAGTAACAGATAATAGACACCCAATTCCAAATAGCTTAAGCAAAAAGAAACACACATACACACACTACAAAGAAAAGAAATGAGTTGGCTCATGTAACTGAAAAGCCCAATGGTGGAGCTGGCCACAGACAGCTTAGGTATACATTAGGCTATTATTAGAAGTCTGTCTGCCTCTGTCACACGCACCCCCCCCCCTCGCTTTCTGTTATGTTTCTCTGTTTTCATTCAGGCTCTCTCCACATGGTGACCCCCAATAGCTCTAGGCTTACATTGTCTTACAGCTGTCAATCTCATTGGGAAGAATACTTATCTTCCCTAGTAGTCTTAATGAAATTCTCAGGATTGAATGTTATTGGACTGATTTAGGTCACATGCCTATTCCTGAACCCATCTCTGTGACCAGGGTAGTAGAACAGGCTTTTTAACCAGACTTGGGTTCCTTGGGCAAACTAACCATGTTGTCTATAAATGAAAGAGGAATGGATGTCCAAAGGAAAAATTAAAGTACCATTAACTGAATGTATACTAGGATGCAAAATAACAGAATTTCACTATACTACATTACCTAAATTAGCTAGGGCTTTTTAAATTCCCTCTTCTTTGCCTTACATGCCAAGGTCCCCAGAGAAGATAAGATTCTAGATATCGGCCAGGTGCGGTGGCTCACGCCTGTAATCCTAGCACTCTAGGAGGCCAAGGCGGGTGGATTGCTCCAGGTCAGGAGTTCGAAACCAGCCTGAGAAAGAGTGAGACCCCGTCTCTACTATAAATAGAAAGAAATTAATTGGCCAACTAATATATATTAAAAAAATTTGCCAGGCATGGTGGTGCATGCCTGTAGTCTCAGCTACTTGGGAGGCTGAGGCAGCAGGATCACTTGAGCCCAGGAGTTTGAGGTTGCTGTGAGCTAGGCTGACACCATGCACTCACTCTAGCCTGGGTGACAATGCGAGACTCTGTCTCAAAAAAAAAAAAAAAAAAAAAAGATTCTAGATATCAGGCAGGTCATTAGGATGCCCTCATTTATAGTGAAATACAAACAGCTGAGATTCTTCATAAATATTGAAAGTTGAGGATGACAGCTCTGTCTCAGTCGAAATTATCACATGAAAGATTATCACATGAACAGATCAAAATGAAAGTGAAACTATAGAATTTGTGGCGGTCATTAAGCACTTCACATTTTAGGTAGGATATAATGAAACATTAATACATAACAATTATCTGGGTTTCAATCAAGTCTAGCATCTTATATTAAGAAGATTAGTTAATGTTTGTAAAGTACTATGCAGATATGCCCTTTTAAAATGCTAAGTATTCTAAAAACTACATAGCATTTTACTAAATGTAAAAGATCTAATGTTCATCATTTCTTTGGTACAGGTTGGCAAAGATTCTTTTGGCAATGACTATATAGAAAACTTAAAACAGAATGATATTTCTACAGGTAAAATTTCATCTTTTTTAAACTTAGTGTTTATAACTATCTTCTATGATCTTGTTATAAGAAAAATTGAATATAGAACAAAATTATTAGATCTTCCCCTGGTGGCCACAGAATTTTTATGCACAGCTTTGTCTACTCTTGCTAACATGTCTTTTGGTTGATTTTTCATGTACATTCCTCTAGATGGAAATAAAATGATAGGAGGTTACAACCTTCATCTCATGATATGTGACAAGGAAAAACAAGTGCTGCATTCACAAAAGATATTTTAAGAAAAGTTATTGAATGTTATAGCTGGAAATGATCATAGAAACCATTAAGGCTGATACTATTACTTCACAGAAGGGAAAACCAAAGGCCAGAGATGTTCTGTGATTTTTCCTAAGAGCACACAGTTGGTGAGAGCTTGAGCCAGGACTAGAATGTAGTTCTTCTGCTCCAGTTCAGGGCTCTTTGCTGCTACCAAAGGCTGCCTGATCAACATTTCTGTTTATGTGCCAGACCATGATTTCTTCATGAAATGCCAAGCTTATGAGAATGAAGAAAATCAAACAAGTTCATTTTATAGGTTCAACCTTTTGTTTTTTTATCTCAAGTCTGTCATTTCTTTCTGTGAAGAAAATAAATGTGTTGGTCTGGAAGATGCATATATATACAATTATAAATAATTTGAGGGAATTGGAAGAGGAGTGGTTTGGTAAGTTGTTACTAATGCAGAGAAAAGGTGTAACTAAATGTAAAGCTGTCTATTTTCCTCATTGTATAGGTGATGGGTATAAATTAGCACTAATTACTTTTTGTTTTTATCATTCCATATGGTTAAAGGTTAAAAAGTTTTTCAAAGGATTAGTGTTACATGAAATTGTTAAAATAAATTATCCATGCTAGGCTGTATGTACATAATTATAATTTTCTTTTTTCTTTTAGAATTTGCATATCAGACTAAAAATGCTGCTACAGGAACCGCTTCTATAATTGTAAATAATGAAGGTAAGTGTTTCATATATTAGAATGTCATTTCATAAAACAGACAGTTGAATTCTAGAACTAGACCAAAAGTTTCATTTTTACCCTAATCCTATGGACCTCTTACCATACCTACCATTCCAAGGCCTAAAGTGTGGTTTTCTTTCCAATCCAAATACAAATATGTTTCCTTTTATTTATATTTCCCATGTTGATCATTCAGATATAAAATTGTCCCTCTGATATAGATGAAGTTGCCTCAAAATAACATCTACATCCTATAATCATGTCCCCGTTACCCTTCATGTGAACTCAGAATTGACACTTGTCTCTAAAAACAATCAGGTATTCATCTGTCATTTTAGTTACACAAGATAAATAAATGTAAATAGGTGCAAAGAAAAGTTTGATGAATCATATTTATAGAATATTTACTGAGCAAATGGTAGTAACTAATTACTTTTAATAGTGTTCAATTTTGTCTGCTCTTTAAACAGTAGTCAAATCTCAGAAGTCTACATATACAACTAAGTCTGCCAGAGGCTTTGCCATAGTTGAAATATTTATCTTTAAAAATAGTAACTACCTTCAAGTTAAGTTCTCATAATTTCTACCAACTGTTTTAAGTATAAAACATCTACATAAGATTTTAAAAATCAAAATTAACATTCAGAAGGACCAAGCATTTCATGGGGCAGGTAGGACAGAACCTAGTACATTTTGGACAGTCAGTGTGTATTGTGTTAGATTAGGATTTGTCACAATTATGTCTTTTATTTATAATCCAGTGTTGCAAGATCATAGAAGATATGGTATTTTTAATTCAACTTTAGTTGATCCCAAAGTTGCAATAATAAAAAGATATATTCCACTTAAAGACAGTAAATAAAGTTTTCATTCTAACAACAGAAAGTCTGTGTTCATTACTTCAAGCTATACTTAAGTAATTATTGTGCCAACAGCAGCTCATTCCTTGTCTTAAACCTCTTTTTCGTTGTTGTTCTAGGGATATCTTCAAGTTCTCTTTCTTCCTTATCTATGAAACAAAATCTGCATTTTCTATGCAGTGATACAATTTCATGTATTGAATGCTTATTATGGTAGACTATATGGTATAGTCTCAAAAGTATAGATTGTAGTGGAAGAAGTAAGACAAATAAACAGAGATGGGAAAATCAGCTCCTTTCAACAAAGGATGAATATGCAAGATAAAGTAATGAGTTTAGTTTTTGAGAAGTTAAATTGGAGGCATGAATGAGCTAGCCAATATGGCATTGTCCAGCAGACAGCTGACTCCCAAATCCACCTTTCTGGCCTGGCCTTGGCGCTGAGCAATACGAAAGCAGTGGTTGACTGCAACAGAGGAAATGAGCTCACTGAAAGAGACAAGGAAGGAGAGTGACACTGTCTTTCAACAAGTGGGTACTTTGAAACTTTTCCAGGACTGAGGCTGGGATTATGCTGAACCATCCCTGCTTTATTAAGTCTTCCTCGTGGCCAACAAACACATCGGTGGTAGGATGATAGGCTAGAATTTGTTCTGTGTTGAGAGATAATTTTAGGTCAAGTCTATACAAGATCAGTGTGAGCAGCCTGAAGCACAAAAAATGCCTACTGCAGTCATTCCTCTAGTTGTCCTCAGTGTTGTCCAACAGAAGTAAAATGCAAGCCACATGCAGAACTTTAAATCGTCCAGCAGCCACATTTTAAAAAGTAAAAAAGAACAGGTAAATTTAATCTTGATAATACATTTATTAAACTCAATATATCCAAAATATTATCATTTCAATGTGTAATAAAATTTTTATTTGAAAATATTTTTAATTTTTTTAATGTCTTAAAAAATTAATGAGATGTGTTACCTTCTTTGTACTGTCTTTGAAATCCACTGTATATTTTACACTTAAAGCACATCTCAGTTCAGGCTAGCCTCATTTCCAGTGTTCAGTAGCTCTGTGCAGCTTGTGCTCATGACTACCATATTGGACAGCACAACTCTTAAGAGTTCATCTAACAGATAAAATATACTACTTCCCCATTTAGGTGGGATTATAGACATTGGGTCCAAGATAAGTGATGAGAATATATCATATTCCTTAGTTCTGTTTCTTTTTGTTTGATCTGGTATAGTATAGGCTAAATATCCCTCTGGTCATGTTATATAGTATAATTTTTCATCTGTTAGATATTATAAAATGTGTTTTGGTTGACAGAATCACTTTTTAGAATACCGTAGGGTACACACATAAACCGCTTGCATACTACAGAGCATTACTTTTTTTTTTTTTTTTTTTTTTTGAGACAGAGTCTCACTTTGTTGTCCAGGCTACCTCACAGCAACCTCAAACTCCTGGGCTCGAGTGATCCTTCTGCCTCAGCCTCCCGAGTAGCTGGGACTACAGGCATGTGCCACTATGCCCGGCTAATTTTTTATATATATATCAGTTGGCCAATTAATTTCTTTCTGTTTATAGTAGAGACGGGGTCTCGCTCTTGCTCAGGCTGGTTTTGAACTCCTGACCTTGAGCAATCCGCCCGCCTCGGCCTCCCAAGAGCTAGGATTACAGGCGTGAGCCACAGCGCCCGGCCCAGAGCATTACTTTTGCACGTTATACAAATTCATTCCAGTTTATACTCATCTGTATGGCATTTGTCATTTAGGATCAGAATCTTTACCATATACATATATCAGCTGTTTTCCAAAAAGAAATTATAAAAATATATATCATTTCTCAACTAATGTTCTTTGCATATAAGAATAGTGATAAGAGAAATGTTTAAGATTTTGCTCAAAATGATAAGAATAATATGGATCTTATAGAGCCATTGCAAAAGATACATTTGGGACACAAAATTTAACCTGAGTAGCCCAGAAATTAATTCTTACAACACATTTTGTGTAATGGCTTTATAAGGGTGATTATACATTGCAGAATATCATTGCTTGGCTTTGTTCGGTTTTGATATAAATAAGTGGAATTTCTTAATAGGCCAGAATATCATCGTCATAGTGGCGGGAGCAAATTTACTTTTGAATACTGAAGACCTGAGGGAAGCAGCCAATGTCATTAGCAGAGCCAAAGTAATGATCTGCCAGCTAGAAATAACTCCAGCAACTTCTTTGGAAGCCTTGACAATGGCCCGCAGCAATGGAGGTAATTTTACATATTTGTCATTCTTTCTGTAAAAGCTTTTATCACTGTCTTAATTAAAGTTAGCCTTGTAAGTTAAGCAAAGCAATACTTTTTCTGTAGTAAAATATTCTTTCATCCATCTGTGAGATTCACTGTCTTATGGTTCTTGAGATTATTAGAAAACCTGACAGATAGGGTGAAAATAACCTGAGTAGCATTTCTGATATCCCTGAATATAAATCTTCAATCTAGTTAGTAGAAATGATACCAATAGTGATTAGAATCTCCAAAGCAGCATATTGTCCAAAGTACACTCTAGGTAGTGAAAGGTTTTCCATTCTGAGAAGCAGAGGTTAACCTACATGTCATTTTTTTTTTTAAGTCAGAGTCTCCCTCTGTTACCTGGGCTAGAGTGCCGTGGCGTCAGCCTAGCTCACAGCAACCTCAAACTCCTGGGCTCAAGCAATCCTACTGCCTCAGCCTCCCAAGTAGCTGGGACTACAGGCACGTGCCACCATGCCCGGCTAATATTTTTAGTTGGCCAATTAATTTCTTTCTACTTTTAGCAGAGACTGGGCCTTACTCTTGCTCAGGCTGGTTTCGAACTCCTGCCCTTGAGCCATCCGCCCGCCTTGGCCTCCCAGAGTGCTAGGATTACAGGTGTGAGCCACTGTGCCTGGCCTGCATGTCATTTTTAATCACTGCTCAGTTACATTTCTATAAACATCTATAGGAATTGAAAATCAGTTCTTATCCTTTTTGTAAAACATTATCATCTTTTCAATAAGTAAAAAAAGATTATTTATATGTAATATTTTTATGTTGTCATTGTCCATTAAGTGGCCCTTTTGTTTCACTTTTGATTTTGGAAAATTTCAAATGTACAAAAGTAGGCAGAATTCTATAATGAAACCCATCACCCACTTTCAACAGTTATCAACCTGTGGCTAATCTTGATTCATGTGTTTTACCCTCCACTCCGCCTCTGTCAACCCCAGCAAATAACAGACTTTTTAAAAATCTGGACAGTTTCTTTCTGTTTGCTTCTTCTTCATCATTGACTAATGGGAAAAGCATCTTCTGAGTTGGAATCCTACTTCTGTCGCTTGTTAGCTTTGTGGTTTTAGCAGAATTATCTGATCTTTCCAAACCTTTTCTGTAAAATGCCTACAGAAATACCCACCCTACGGTATCATTCTAAGAATGGATGAAATAAAATATGATGCCAAGCATGGTGTATAGTACATGTCAGTAAACCCCAATTTTCTTCTCTTCCATACACTTCACCTTTAAATTAAAATTAGGATAATATCCTGATCTAGCACCATTTGTTTAAAAAAAATCAAAATAAACTCTAAGACATTGGCTTCTCCTTGATATTTTGGCAATAGTTCTGTGATTTATATTAGGGAGAAAGTAGAGAAAACTTTCTCATCGAGATACAAAAGTAAAAAAAAGGAAGAAGAAAAAGAACAGTAAGTATATGTGTATGAATGTGTGTTTATATAAGTGATTTCCCCTCAAAGTGTGCTATTGCTATGTATTCTACATAGCAATAAATGGAAAATAAGTTACTGAAATGATTTTGTGGAAAATTTTTAAATGTATGTCCTGATTTAACAAATTTTTCTCTTGGCAAAACAACATGCCATGGCAAATTTTCACTGACATTTAATGTATTTTTAATGCACTCAAAGCTATCAAAAAGAAATCTAAGCCAAAACCCATTTGGTTACATTTTCTCAGAGTGTCACAGTAAAGTCTAATGCTTATGGTAAGTGTTCTCTGCACTGCACTCATCTCTGTCAAGTGATGTGCATACACTGTGCCACTCCACTCCTGTTCCTGTCTTCCCTTGTATAGATCAAAGCATAGTCTCATGTAACTTCTCTTTTTTCCTACTATCCCTTGCTTCTCAGAGATCACTGTTTCCTCTGTCCCAATCTACTTACCTGTTACCTACCCAGATTGTGGAGGAGAAAAAGGTACAGCAACCACAGTTGAGGATCTAACCTTTCAAAGGTGAGGCCAGAGTAATTCGGATGGGCAGGCAGCCTATGCTGGGGCTGTCATCTGGGTGGAGTCCAGAAATGCTTCCTCCATCACCTGCCATGCAGCTCTTCCAGTTGAGCTGGAGGACCTACGGCATTGGGAAGAGGGGGGTAGGTAGGTGATGGTGGGCCACAGACTACCTGGCCTACTTCATATTTTTACTAAGAGCCAGCATGCCTAAGTATTAATTTTTCATGATCTTTCTTTCTTACATAATAATATTAGGAATATACTTTGCATTTATGTGAAATTTACAGCTTATAAAATACTTTCTTACACATTTGATCCTCAGAAAAACCTCATGACAAAGATATGGCAGGCATTGTTCTCTCAGATTGAAGGTGAGAAGACTGAAACTTGGAGAGGTTAAGCAAGGTGTTCACCCAGTGTCACACTTTAAGTAAGTTGTAGGAACCAGGAATTCAGACTCCAAGATCCAATTTCTGTCTCTTGGACCACACTTAATAAGAAATTGCCATGGCTCGGCATGGTGGCTCACATGCCTATAATCCCAGCACTTTGGGAGGCCCAGGTGGGAGGATTGCTTGAGGTGTCATGACCAGCCTGGGCAAAATATCAAGACCCTATCTCTACAAAAGATTTTAAATGCCCATAGTCCCAGCTACTTAGAAGGCTGAGGCAGGAAGATTGCTTGAGCCCAGTTATTCAAGGTTGCAGTGATCTATGATAAGGCCACTACACTTCAGCCTGAGTGACAGAGCAAGACCCTGTCTCTTAAAAAGAAAGAAAGAAACAGATCGAAAGAAAGAGAGGAAAAGGAAGGAAGGAAGGAAGGAAGGGAGGGAGGGAGGGAGGGAGGGGGAGGGAGGGAAGGAAGGGGGAGAGAGAGAGAGAGAGAGAGAGAGAGAGAGAGAGAGAAAGAAAGAAAGAAAGAAAGAAAGAAAGAAAGAAAGAAAGAAAGAAAGAAAGAAAGAAAGAAAGAAAGAAAGAAAGAAAGAAAAATTGGTGTATCCCATTGATCTCTAGAAAAGAAAGAAAGAAGGAAAAAAATTGCTGTATCCCACTGATCTCTAGAAAAGTAAAATCCATTAATTTTAACACCGCCCAGCATGGACCTAAGCTTGAGCATTTTTGCTGCTCAAAAAACAGTTAAGAGGCCCTAGAGTGTTTTTAGCAATGAGTCCCCATCCCCCCAATGCAAAACACACACATGTACACACACACACACACAAACACACACACTCCTTTGCCCCAAATTCCTCCAGTCTGACAACTTTCTCTGGCCAAGTCAACCGGTCCCTAGTTGGTAGACACTAGCCAGACACAGTTAGATTCTGTACCATGGGCGCGGGAGTGTGTGTATTTGATGCATCTTCATTCTCACGTGAAAGAAGAGTGGTACAACAAAAGGAGAGCGCTGGTTTGGGAATCATGAAGTATGGCTTTAAATTCAGAATCAATCAGCAAATGGAGGACCTCAGTCAAGTAAATCATTTCCTTCCTTGGGGCCTCAATGTCTTCTTTTGTGAGACAAGAGAATTGGGCTGAGAGCTCTCACAGTTCTTTAATGTCGGTTTGGACTAATCACAGAGCAGAGTGGGCAAAGCTTAATGATTTGTTGAGCACTATGCATCCTGCCCCCTGCTCTAGGAAGCTGCAGGAAGAAAGGTGATAAAGTCATTATCATCATCATCATCATCTGTGGTTTTATTATCACAGTTCCCTTATCTTTACTGCTTACAAGTAGTGAAAGTTGAATTAAACACATTATATAACTAGAATATATATCAATTATTAAAATCCAAAGGAAAAGATTCCTCTATCTTTAAATATACTATTTCAAAACTCTCTTCCTGGCAGGGCGCAGTGGCTCACGCCTCTAATCCTAGCATTCTGGGAGGCCGAAGTGGGTGAATCTCTCAAGGTCAGGAGTTCGAAACCAGCCTGAGCAAGAGGGAGACCCCCGTCTCTAATAAAAGAAAATAGAAAGAAAATAGCTGGACAGCTAAAACTATATAGAAAAAATTAGCCGGGCATGGTGGCGGATGCCTGTAGTCCCAGCTACTCGGGAGGCTGAGGCAGTAGGATTGCTTGAGCCCAGAAGTTTGAGGTTGCTATGAGCTAGGCTGATGCCATGGCACTCTAGCCTGGGCAACAGAGTGAGACTCTGACTCAAAAAAAAAAAAACTCTCTTCCTGTCTTTACCAAAAGGAAAGCATTGGTTTTAAAGAAACAGCACCTACAACACCAAAATCAATATAGTCCCTGTCTTAGCTAGGTCACTATGCTGTGAGGTGGGCCCACTGCAGAGCTGATGCTGCAGCTGCTTGGTCTTTATATCCATTTCAAAACAAAGGGAACATTACAGGGACAGTTATAAATAATAGAGATTGTAAAATTGCCAAGATTAAATTCTAGGTATGATACAAAGTGTCTTTTTATGCCACTGTAGTCCTTTCCCATTTGGCAAACAAAACTTCTTGGCTGGCCACCTAGACCTTCACAATAACATTGACCAGCACATAGCCCAAGCTTTTTGTGTTTCTGCTGCCCAAGTCACAGAAAAGAGCCTCTGGATTAAGAGACAGCCAAGCCAGTGTTTTGAGTATCCCAACCTTTTCATGGTTTCTTTGCTTAGGGTGATTTTCTTTCCCAGTGCCTCTGAGCTAGTTATTCTAGTAAGAGATTCTGCCTCATTTTCCTGTATTTTTGCCTATACAGCTACTCCCCACAAGGCCTCACCAGTTGCTCATTGATATAATTGTGCCAGCTACTGACGTGTAGTTAAGATAACCAGGAGTTTAGTCCATCTTACACTGTAATTAATAATAATTACTGTGAGTACTGTCAGTCAACACTGCAACTCCAAGTTACTCCACAGTACCTTGGGCCAGGCGCGGTGGCTCACGCCTGTAATCCTAGCACTCTGGGAGGCTGAGGCAGGTGAATCATTTGAGCTTTTAGGAGTTCGAGACCAGCCTGAGCAAGAACGAGACCCCGTCTCTACTAAAAAAAAAAAAAAAAAAAAATAGAAAACAATTAGCTGGACACAGTACATTGTGTGTTCTCTAGTTCTGCCTGGTCCCAGGATGACATCATCTTTTCCATCTCATCTATTACAAATTTGCATTTTTCTTTGATTAACTACATCTGCTAATCCTTCGTTTCCTTCATCATGGTAAAGTATTTAGGCCTATTTGTGGTAGCACTGGCCAAGAAGAGTCCTTTCTTTATGGCATTTTCACTTTTCCCCTAAATTTAGTTACTAGTCAGATTCTAAGCCTATTCTTACTATGGGTAAGAATGTTGTCCCTCAGTAAAGCACAAGCAAATAAGATTCAATTGGCTTTTATACAATATGGTAAAATTACTATAGATTATAGAATTCCTATTCCAGCAATTGATACTTAAAATTCAGTGTAATTGTTTCTTTAAAATGTGTTTTTATTGTATAAAATTGCAAATATATATGGACACAGAATAGTACGGTAAGTACATATATGTTATCATTTAGCTTCAACAATTATCAACACATGGCCATTCTTATTTCCTCTGTGCCCAACTCTTGGCTCCCTAGCCCCCACTGCAACCTTGATTATACTGAAGCAAAACTCACATAATATATCGTTTCATTTGTAGTATACCAATTTTTTGATGTGATACTATACATGTTTTAAGAATGATGTCTTTGCATGATGTATAGTACTTAATCTGTAGTCAGATATAGTCCCATCAGCCTCTTATAACTAATCACTTATTAGTTTAGTGAGTAACTTTACAAACTTTTTTTTCTCTGTAAGCATATAAATGTAAATACACATATAGTTGTGTGTGTTTTTATTAAAAAGAGAGGGTAATACAAAAGTGCCTTTTTCACTTATAAATAAATTATAGAAATCTTTCTCTAACAAAACACAAATCTACTTCATTCTTTTTAACAACTACAGAGTGTTATATCAGACATATGTGTGATTTTTTTTAACTTTGATAGGTTTATAGATTTGTTTTTTCTGTTACAAAGCTACATGAAAATCATTGTATATCACCTTTGCATGCTTGTAGATTTCTGTAGCATAGGTTTAGAAAAGGAATTGCAGGATTAGGAATCTTTTTAGGAAAAAAATGGAACTTTTATAAGAATAGCTATACTCTGTTGTTCCATACTGGTAGCTTGCTCTAACCTGTGCTCAAATGCTGATGAATGCAGATTTGAGGATCACACAGGTGAGCAGTGGTGTTTCAGTTTAATTCTTAATGAAAATCAGGAACAATATATTGTTCTAAAAACTTGAAAAGTAAGTGGGTGTGTTAGAGTGCCGGGCAATGAGAGCCTTTATGTGTAATTGACACCTCTGAGACCTTACAGAAGTGGGAGAACCAATGAGAGAGACTGTTGCCAGGCTGCAAACTCCAGCAGAAGGCAGAGGAGATGGGTGGACAGGCGGGGGTGTTGGGCTGCGTGTAAAGGACAATATAATAACAGTAATAATCCTTTACATTTGCACAACACTTCACAGTTTACACTGGGTTTTCACATCCGTTTTCTAATTTAAGCTGCACAATAATCCTTTACAAAAATCTGAGCAGCCAAAAATATACTATAGAATTTCTGTGGGCGGACATTCTGGATTCTGAAATAACAAAAATGTGGGAATAGTGTTAGCCTATACTGGACAAGACCCACTGACTGAGCCAAAATGTTAAGTGACATCAAGGAAGGTACAGAAGTAGACTAAATGGCCTCACCAGGCTGAAGGAATGGACATTTTCCATTAGCCACATGCTGATTAGCATCTCCCCAAGAATGTGGAATGGATCTGTGCCAGGCTAGCTCCATCAGAGCCACCTGGAGAACTTGTGAATGTGCAGATTCCCTGATCATACCCCCTAGAGATTCTGATTCAGTGGGTTTAAAGTACAGCCCAAAAATCAGGCATTTCTACAAGCTCTCCTAGTGATGTTATTGTGCAACCAAGTTTGTAAACCACTGTTCTGGAAGTCTCTGAGAATTACAGCTAGAGAACTTTACTGTATGGATCTCTAGTCAAGTGGGCCTACCTAACATGCAAGTCAGTGGACCTGGGTTGAGATAAAGACCAACCAATCTAGTCGAGTGCTCTGGTGAATAAGTGTTTTGACAAAGAGGGAGCTTCCTCTGAATGTAATTTTTAAAGATTTTAAATACACACACACACACACATATTTACAAAGTTCCGTACCAAAAGCTGTTTTGTAATATTTTGAATTGGGATTGGGAGCATGTGTTGCTATGGACAGAGTCCTGGCCTGGAGAGGTCACTTTTTTAGAGAGAACCAAATCCTGAACTCAAAGCCAGAGGATCCTGGGTAGGGGCCTAGCTCAACTACATCCCAGTGTATGACCTTAGACATATGACCTCATTTCTCTGAGCCTCACTTTCCTCCTTCTGAAAAATGGCTGTGACATTCCCATTTCTCTATTTCTGCTATCCCCTTCTTTCCTGCTCTTGTATCATCTTAGTCTGCGCTAGCACTCAGCCTCTGATGGAATTTCGTCTATTTTTTTTATGTCCCAAGATTGCTCACAGAAGCCAAGAATGTAAGCTTTTATGTAAATGTGTATGTTTTCAGGAGTAATTAATATTTGTGAGACATATAAAGGTGTATAAAATATGCATATTTACATGCGCTTCCTACTTACTATTCCTACCTGGAATTTTTGAAGTCTTCATTGTTTCTTTTCTATCATCTTTTTTTTTTCTTCCCTGGAAAATAGATTTATGAACAAGCCTTGCAGCTAAGCACTTAAAGTAACCCGCAAAAATGTTCACCAGCCTGTTCATATTCACATGTCCTTTCTTGCCACATTTTTACTTTTCTTTACTGTTCTTGTTGCCCTTGCCTTAACTCTGTAATCATCTTGGTTGTAAATATTGATGCTTGCCCTTGAAGCTGAAATGTTGTAAAATGAAAAGTAGAGAAAATGGAGATAAGAAGGAATTAGTATTAGGCTTTCATGGAGATTTGACATTGCAGACTTTCCTACACCTATAACTAAGTGGATATTTAATCCAATGAGACAAAAATGGTTGCACTTGGGGATCTCCCCTACTGAATGTCTAGAAATGCACCACATTAAAAATGATAACCACGGAGCCCCTTTTCCATTCCTTTATAGTGAAAACATTGTTCAATCCAGCTCCTGCCATCACTGACCTGGATCCCCAGTTCTACATGCTCTCAGATGTGTTCTGTTGCAATGAAAGTGAGGTAAGGATGAATCATTTTGGTTACTCTATGAGAAACCAAAGGAATTTTATGCAAGTGAATAAAGCAAAAAGGCAGAACTAACCATATCAATCTGATGACATGTGAATTCTTAGGCCCAGTGAGAACAGATTTTTCAGTTTACTAAGGAAATTAGTAAGTCCTAGGGGAAAAAAATGATTCTCTGAGTCACGCCCATAATCTGGCACTTATCAAACCTCAGTTATTTCAGTCCCCTCCCTGCCCTCACACTATTGGTGTTTTCTTTTCTAATTATTCCATATTCTGTGGAGTAATTAATAGTAGAGTTGCCAGGTTTAGCAAATAAAAACATGGATGCCCAGCTAAATTTGAATTTCAGATAGACAATGAATAATATACCTAACATATTTATACTGTAAAATTATTTATTGTTTATCTAAAGTCCAAATTTAAGCTTCCTGTTTTTTATTTGGTAACCCTAATTAGTATACAACCCCTGGAGCATTTGCTACCTCCTGTAGTGAAGACCCTATGACAGCATTGGCGGACCAACATAGGTTCTCCATTGACTCCATGGAAAAGACCTTGGCAGCCAAACCATTAGAGCAGGCATCCTCAAACTATGGCCCGCAGGCCACATGTGGGTGTTTTTGCCCATTTGTTTTTTTACTTCAAAATAAGATATGTGCAGTATGCATAGGAATTTGTTCATAGTTTTTTTTAAACTACAGTCTGGCCCTCCAACGGTCTGAGGGACAGTGAACTGGCCCCCTGTTTAAAAAGTTTGAGGACCCCTGCATTAGAGGCACAACCTCTCAGCCCATCTGACTGTCATAATGTATATATCTGCACAAAATATCCATTAACATACTGATATCGTACCACTCTTAAGTATTTTTAGGAATAAAATATCAGTATTTCTTTCTTTGTATAAGCCAGACAGCATTAGACCAGAGCTCTCTCCAATAACTGGGACACAGGTATACATATTGGTGAATGTAACATGCAGAGAGGAAAGTAATTAATGAACTGTAATAGGTCATTTTCCATTTGGTTTGAGTACTGAATGAAGGTTTCTAGGATTTTTTTTACCTGCTTTCTTGATAATTTCATCTCTCCGAACACAGAGGAAACAAGAAAGAAGACTGCTACAATGAAACTAATTTTAACAAACCACAATAAGTTATGCAATATTTTTGAGCAACCACCATGCTAGAAAAAGGAATTGTGGGAGATAATGACCATTTCACAATAAGAGGTTAGATTACTCTCAACTGCCAAAATGGATTAAATTTCCCTGCTAGATACTTAAAGAGCCCTCTATTCCTCAAACCTGATCACAGCTCAAATTACTTATTCATTTCTTCTGTCTTCTCCATTAAATTACAAGTTCCATGAGGACAGAGACATCTGTCTTATTCACTATTCTATCCCCATTGGCTATCCCTGTGTATATAGTTATCTATTGCTGCACAATAAATTACCCCAAAATGTAATGGCTTACAACAACAACAATTATTTATTGTTATTTGTGGTTTCTGTGCATCAGGAATTCAGACAGGACACAGCAATGCTGGAGACTACTCCACAAGGCCTGGAGCCTTAGTAGGAAGACTCAAAGACTCAAAGACTAGAATCATCTGAAGTCTTCACTCACACACTTGACAGTTGTTGCTGGCTTGGGGCATAATGGGTCTGTTGGCTAGAACACTTATACACAGGCTCGACTTGTGACCTGGTCTGGCTAGAACGAGTGCTGTGACTGTCAGCCTAGCTCACAGCAACCTCAAACTCCTGGGCTCAAGCAATCCTTCTGCCTCAGCCTCCCGAGTAGCTGTGACTACAGGCATGCACCACCATGCCTGGCTAATTTTTTCTATTTTTAGTAGAGACGGGCGTCTCGCTCTTGCTCGGGCTGGTTTCGAACTCCTGACCTTGAGCGATCCTCCTGCCTCGGCCTCCCAGAGTGCTAGGATTACAGGTGTGAACCACCATGCCTAGCCAAAGATTTTTTTATTATAGAATATTTTTAAAAATTTTTTAGAATATACAAGTCAGTGTTTCTGAATGATGCAGTAGAGGTCTCCTGAATGCCAAGGCATTGCTTTTTCTGCTACATATCAATGCCTCTCCTACACTGCTTCCATCTTCTCTAGCAAAAACAAAGGAAATGAGTAGTCTGCAAACATGGAAAGCTACTACTAGTAATATGAGAAAGGTAGTATAGCCCAAGAGAGGCCTGGAAGGCCATAAGTGATCTCAACAGATGTAAGTGATCCCACTAAGGAAGATCAATGCAAAACTTGCTTTTTTTTTTTAATACACAAAAGAAATATCATATACTTTGAGTTGAGTCAATTTAATTCAATGACATATATATATATAAAATCAATTGACTAATATTTATAAAACTTGCTTAAAAAAACAAAAAATGGCCACATAGTATAACCAATTCAGACAGAAAGGGTCTGTGCAAAAGATGGCAAGAGGAGCACACGGTCATGGTTGTGAAACCTGAGCTACTGGGAAAATGGAAGCCTGGAATGAGTAGACACTTGTGGGATGATTCATAGACAACAAAAACGGTTAATTTAGGCACCTCAGAGGAAACACAAGGAGGTCTAGAACCATTCTTAGAAAGAGATAGCATATGATTAAATTGTAATACATTTTCTGTATTACAGAATTTAGTTATACATTGTTTAATCAAAAAGTATTATATAATTCATTTAGTCCAGTGATTTTTTAAACTATCAATCTCAGAACAATAGAGGTTAACAGAGTTGCAGGAGGGATACCTGCGGGTTAGGGAAGCAGGGCTGGAGCTTCACACACAAACACCTCTTTATATTCTGGGAGAGAAATACTGACCCTGTTGAAGTTCTCCTCATTTTCAGATTGTAAGTGACTTGGAGAAGGCACAGAATTAGTGAGTAATAGAGGTCTCCTGAATGCCTGGGCATTGCTTTTTCTGCTACATATCAATGTTTCTCCTACACTGCTTCCATCTTCTCTAGCAAAAACAAAGGAAACAAGTAGTCTGCAAACATGGAAAGCTACTACTAGTAATATGAGAAAGGTAGTATAGCCCAAGAGAGGCCTGGAAGAATTAGGTGCTGAAATTTACAGGTGCAATTTATACCAATATTATTGGCAGGGGCCCTTCCCTTTCTGCCCCTAAACTTCCTTTCTTATGTAGAATTCTCTTTGTTCCCCTAACTCTTCATTATGAAAATTATCATATGTGCAGGCAAGCTGAAAAAGCAATACAATGAACACTCTACCTTCCACCTAATCAGTTGTTAACTTTTTGCTATATTTGCCTCTCCCTTTCCCTGTATGTATTTCTTTTTGTTTTTGTTGAAAAGTAAAAGCAAATACATTTTGTTAAGAGTAAATTGCAGACATGATACTTCACCCCTAAATACTTCAGGATGCATCTTCTAAGAGTAACCACAATACCACTATCACATCTAATAAGATTATCAATAATTCCATACTATCATCTTAATATCCAGGCCGTATGTAGATTTCCCCAGTTGTCCCAAGAATGTCTTTTATAGCTAGTTTTTGTTGTCATTGTTATTGTTGCATTTTATTTATTTTCCTATGCCAGTATCTATCAAGGTTCTCATTGCTTTGGTTGTTATGAAAAAGAAGAGAGACATTTTCCAGGAAAAAAAAATCTCAAAGTATATCCAGGGCACTTATTTTCACCACTGTTTCTTTCCACTTTTGTGTGTTCCAGGCTGAGATTTTAACTGGCCTCACGGTGAGCAGCGCTGCGGGTGCCGGGGAGGCTGCCTTGGTGCTCCTGGAAAGGGGCTGCCAGGTTGTCATCATCACCTTAGGGGCTGAAGGATGCGTGGTGCTGTCACAGACAGAACCTGTCCCAAAGCACATCCCCACAGAGAAAGTCAAGGCTGTGGATACCACGGTAGGTTTTAAAATTTAAGAATCTTTTTTGGCCCTTGAAAATCGTTATTTAGTTGCTAATTAGATACTGCACCTGAATTTTTAGATAACATGATAAAGGCCTAGGAGGGGATATGTTAGAAGAGAATAATCAGGCAGGAAAACTGTATCTTAATCCCTCTCTAACTCACTGTTAGACTTTATACAAGTAATTTCACTTCTTTGAGCCTCAGTTTCCTCATCTATGAAATCAGAATACCAGTAAAATTATACCTACAAGTCATGACACAGAGTAGGAATGAAAAGGAAACAGGTTAGAAGAAAGAATCCTGCTTCCTCTAAAGCTAGGGAAATAAAAACTATTTATTTATTGTTACAACTCAGAAGTGCTGGTCAGGCAAGATGGCTCATGCCTGTAATCCTAGCACTTTGGGAGGCCAAGGTGGGGGGATTTCTTGAGGCCAGGAGTTTAAGACCAGACTATCTCAACAAAAAAACAGAAAAAGTAGCCAGTTATGGTGGCACACGCCTGTAGTCCTAGCTACTCAGAAAGCTGAGGCAAGATGATCTCTTGAGCCCAGAAGTTTGAGGTTGCAGTGAGCTGTGATAACACTACTGCATACCAGCCTGGGTGACAGAGAGAGACCCTGTCTCAAAAACAAACAAAAAAAGAATTCAGAAGAGTTAACTAGAAAAGTAAATAAACTTCAGGGACAAGAAACTGTTGAGTTGAGGAAAATTTAAATTTTAGGGTTTTTATTTATAAGAAACTGATGAATAATTATTTATAAAATATATTTTGGTTTGGTTTTACTCTGAGACGTGACGTTAAGATGTGGGTTATTTATGAAAAAAGAAGCCTGAGGGGACTTGATGAAGTTATGGGTATGAATATGCTTTGAAAACTATGTAAGTGCAAGAAATGCTTATGCGACATGAAATTAACATCCTGGTTGCCTTTCAAAATGTGCTTTCTTGGGTATTTGATAAATTGTACTCAATGTTGTTATTCTCTTCATTTTTAGTCATTTCTGAAACCATTAGGTTTTTTTTTTTCTGTTTTATCAAGAACAGAAATCAACCCTCCATTAGACTAAAACTACTCTAAGTCCTTAGTCTTCTCTTGCTAAAAGTGAAATTGAGCAGTCCTCAAAGATGTCAGACCTACATGGATACACAGAAGTGGCTCAGCCTCTCTACCTTCAGTGTCTGTTAGTCACTACTCCTTTGGTTGTAAGCACCAGAAACACAGCTCAAACAGGCTTATCCAGGAAGGGGGGGGGGGATCTGTTTGGTGCACATAATTGAAAGGTTTGAAAATACAGCAGAATGCAAAGACTGAACCATATCATTGGGACTTGCTGTCTCAGTCTTTCTGTGTCAGCTCTACTCTCCTTGTAGTGGGCTAATGAACTCGGGCAAGTCCTCTCTATGTGGTGGTCCCTGGCAGCTCCGTGTCCCACACTGTGCCCCATGACATGTCCCCAGCCCTGGTGTCAAATAAAAATCAAAGAACTCTTATCAGAGGATACAGAAGTGGACGCTGGTCAGACAAAAACAACTCATGCCTACCACAGAACAGTCACGTGGAAATGCACTGCTTGGGCGTGGAATTAAATTAGGAAAAAACTAGCCTTGGAAATGTTCAAATTCAAATTAGAAGTAATTATCTCCAGAGTAATTTCATGGAAGGGTTGGATTTCATAGATCCTGACTGATCACAACTTTGAGAATATTAAATATAGCAATGTACAGTAAGAAAGTTTTCACATTTTGATGATACTATCTTGTGCCCTTTCATTTGGATTGTTAGCACTTGCAGTTAATTTTTAGGTTTCAGCAAAGTAAAATGGTTTGGAGGATAAAAGATCTAAAGTCCACATCCCCTTTGTTTTTCTGTGGAAATAACCTGACAGAGTGGAAGGGCTCTGACACTCAGGAGACTGGAGGTCTAGTCCCTGCTTCTCCTGAAAAGCTGTCACTTTGGCAAGTTGAGTAACTTCACAGGGCTTCTGATACCTCACCTGTAAAATGAACCCATTACATTAATACTGTGAACCTGCAAAGGGCATGGTGGGGAGGAAGTTGGGGAACCTGTGACCTTAAGGCCACATGTAGCCTTCTGGATCCTTCATTGCAGCCTTTTACTGAATCCAAATTTTACAAAACAAAGCCTTTTATTTTTATTTTTTTTTAATAATTTTTAATATTTTTAATTTTTTTTTCTTTTTTGTTTCACATGCTCTATTGTGCTAGAGAACAAAAGCCTTTTAATAAAGGGATTTGTTCTGTGAAATTTGGATTCAGTCAAGGGACTGCACTCGGGGATCTAGACCAAGGCCACAGGTTCCCCACCCCTAATTGAATTCTGATTACATGCCAAACAAAAGAAAAGAAAGAAAGAAATAGTACAATATCTAGTGTATTTGAATATATCTAGAGATTTTTAGTTTTCTTGTGGAATTTGAGATGAATTATTATCTAAGGGGAAAAAAGTATGATTAAGTAAATATAATATTTGTATATAACATGGCTATAAATGCATAGTCGTGACAACGTAAATGCCAATTCTTGATTTAACCAGAAACGGAGATTATGATCATATTGTGAAGACAGAAGGACAAACTGAGTGTGTATTTGTGTGCACGTCAGAGGACAGAAGAGATCTAAATACTCATCTTCCATAGCTGGAAGTTAAGAAATATCTAAAACTGATTTTTTAAAGGGGGTATAAACATATTACCAAACATATAAGATAAATTAGAGGAAAACACTAGAGGAATTTAAAGTATTTGCCATATGGAAATGGGAATGGAGAAGGATCAGGCATTGACACTTTAAGATTTGTCTTTTTAAACTATGTCTATGGATGGCTTTGATTTTAAAACCAAGAATAATAACACACCCACTAGGAATGAGCTATAATAAAAAACAGATAATAAGTGTCATCAAGGATATATAAAAATTAGAACTCCTATATTACTGCTAGGAATGTAAGATGGTTGCAGCCATTTTGGAAAACAGTCTGGAAGTACCTCAGAAAGTTAAATATAAAGTTACCATATGACCCAGCAATTCTGTATACCCAAGAGAAATCAAAACATGTGTCTACTTAAAAATGTATACATGAATGTTCATAGCAGCATCATTCCTAATAGCCAAAAATTAAAAAGAACCCAATGTTCATCAGCAGATCAATGGATAAAGAAATTGTGCTATATTCATGCAATGGAATATTATTTGGCCATTAAAAGGAATACCGGCCTGGCACAGTGGCTCAGGCCTGTAATCCTAGCACTCTGGGAGGCCGAAGTGGGAGGATCACTTGAGGTCAGGAGTTCAAAACCAGCCTGAGCAAGAGCAAGACCTTCTCTCTACCAAAAATAGAAAAAATAAATTAGCCCGGCATGGTGGCACACACATGTAGTCCCAACTACTAGGGAGGCCAAGGTAGGAGGATCGCTTGAGCCCAGGAGCCTGAGGTTGTAGTGAGCTATGATGACATCACTGCACTCTACCCAGGGCCACAGAGCAAGACTCTGTCTCAAAAAAAAAAAAGGAATACTGATACATGGTATGATGTTAGTGAACCTTGAAAACATTATGCTAAGTGAAAAAAGCTAGACACAAAATGTCATGTAATGTATGATTCCATTTACATGAGATGTCCAGAATAGATAAATCCATAGATACCGGATATAGATTGGTGGTTGCCAAGGGCTGGGGGAAGGGAAATGGGGAGAAACTGCTTAATGAGCAAGGAGTTTTACTTTGGAGTGGTAGAAGTGCTTGGAAACTAGACAGGGTGGTGGTTACACAGCATTGTGAGTATACTAAATGCCACTGAATTGTATACTTTAAAATGGTTAAATTATTAAATAATAATTTTTTATTTCATCATATTATGGAGGTACAAATATTGTTAGGGTTACAAATATTGCCCCTGCCCCCTAAATAATAAATTTTTAAAGGAATTAAGTATTGATTGATGCCATGACATGGATGAACCTTTAAAACATACTAAGTGGAAGAAGCCCAACATAAAAGATCACATTGTTATGATTCCATTTATATGAAATATCCAGAATTGGCAAATCCGTAGAGACAAAAAGTATGGGGTTCCTTTTTGGGGTGATGAAAATGCTCTGGAATTAGTGGTGATCGTTGAACAACCTTGTGGATATACCGATAACTACTACAGTGGATACCTTTGAAGAGTGAATATTATATGTGAATTATATCTCAAACAACAGCAACAAAGCCCACCAAGGCCCTTCAGTAAAGAACAGATATTCTTGTGGTAAAGACTATTCCACCAAATTGCTCTACTGAATATCCTGGAAGGGCTCTCCGCATCCCCCAGTGGAGCGGAGGTGACACTGACAGGAAACCAGGGTAGTTATTTTCTGGGCCTAGAATCTCCTTCATCTTTTTTATACTATCTTTGTCCTCTCATTATTGAAATTCTTGGCTGTTCCACACACAACTGCTCAGCCTCTTCATAAATCTAATAACAAGGAGATCATTCACACAGTGAGGCGAGGAACTCCCGGGGAGGCATTTTCTCGTGAACAAATGGGCTCCTTCACTTTTCTGTCAGGAGAGGATTACTTGCTCTCAGTCGTTTATAACCTTCTCGCTTTTCTCCTAACCCCTTATTAAGAAGTCAGGGGTGACATGGATGGTGGAAACATCCTGAGTTAGTTGGCATGTTGTCCACTTGAGACAGACAGCCTGCTCCAGGAGAAGCCATTTCCCGTTCTACGTCAGTGCTTCTTCCAACTGCTATATTCAGTTTTGCCTCACTGATAATAGTTGAATATATCACTTCTATTTTTACATCTGTTTTCCCCGTTGTACTAGAGTGAGATGATGGCAGTAGCTGCAGATGTCCTCCGCTCAGTTTGGAAGACGTGACAGATGTGTCTCTTTTCCCATTTCTATATGTTATGTGGATCTCAGCCTCAAAATGACAGGGCATGCACGTCCTCCCTCTGTTCCTTTCAGCCTGCAGGTTAGGGG